TATAGTGGCTCACGCCTATAATCTCAATGGCTTGGGAGGCTGAGGCAGGAGGATCATGAGTTCAAAACCAGCCTCAGCAGAAGTGAGGCACTGTGTAACTCAGTGAGACCCTGTTGGAGGTTGAGCCAGGAAGATCAGAAGTTCAAGGCCAACCTGGGAAACTTGGTGAGATCATGTCTCAAAATAAAAATAATAAAAAGGACTGGGCATGTGGGCTGGGGCTGTGGCTCAGTGGTAGAGCATTCACCTAGCATGTGTGAGGCACTGGATTCAATCCTCAGCACTACACAGAAATAAAATAATAAAATATTGTCTCCACCTATAACTAAAAAATAAATATTTTTTTAAATAGGACTGGGGATATAGCTCTTACCCATGTAATCTCTTTGTCCTTGCCTGCTTGCTCTTCCACTTTCTACCATGAGACCCTCACCTGGGTTCAGTCCCCAGTACCAAAAAAAAAAAAAAAAAGGAAGCCACTTAAATGTCTGTCAACTGATGAATTGATTAATATCCAAACAATAGAATATCACTCACCCATAAAAAGAATTATAATAGTTTTTTGGTTATTATAATGAATGAAACACCTAAGGCTGGGTAACTTTATAAAGACAATGGATTTATTTAACTCAGTTCTAGAGGCTGTAAATTGAAATAGTATGACACCAGCTCTAGTAAAGGCCATCTTTCTGACAGAGTCCTGAGGTGTTATAAGCCCTCACATGGCAAGAGACAGGTTAGTGCCCATGTCTGTCTACATCTGTATCCTCTGATCTCTCTCTCTTGTATAGCCACTTGTATTTAATCCTGGGGGCTTGGCCCTAATTATCTTTTCTAATCCTAATCAGCTCCCTAAAACTCTACCTCTAAATACTATAGTTGAATTATGTTTTCATCCTCTTAATATCTCACAGTGGAGATTAAATTTCAGCATGTGTACCTTTAGGAGACCCACTCAAACATTATCCACAACATAGCAGCAATGAAATATTGATACTAGCTGCAACATATATGAACCTTGAAAACACTGAGTGAAAGAAGACAATTGCAAAAACCATAAAAGTGGCTGGAGATGTAGCTCAGTATGAGTGTTTGCCTAACATACAAGGCCCTAGGTTTGAATCCCAGCATTATAAAAAAAACTGAAAATAAAAATGAACCAAAGACCACAAGAAGCTGGGTATGGTGATGCATACTAATAGTCTCAACTACTCGGGAGGCTGATATAGTAGGATCAGTTGAGCTCACAATTTCAAGGCCAACCTTGGCAATATAGTAATACCCAATCTCAAAACAATATTTATATGAAGTGCCTAGAATCAGTTTGCTATTCCAGATATATAGAGACCAAAATTAGATTAGTGGTTGCTGAGAAGTAGGTGGAAGTATGGAGAGTGACTACTAATGCATGGAGGTTTCTCTTGGGATGATATAAATTTTCTAAACTTAGATTCTGTGATGATTATACAACTCTGAATATACTAAAGCCATTGAATTGTACACTTTAAATGGGTGGATTTATAGCCTTTATATCTCAATAAAGAGGTTAAAAATGTTTAATCTTGAGTATAAGTATATGCACTATAGAGGAGACATGTTTTTGGTCCTTATTCTTAGCTATCATTGTGCCTTAAGCATTGTAGGAAATGTGGAATGAGTGAATTTTAAAAATAAAATATCCTAATTTGAATTTAGCATCTCTCTCTTGGTTAGTGAAATACTAAAATGATAGTGGTCAAATATAGAAACCTCTCAGAAAACATTTTAAAGGAGTAGAAGCATAGTATATGTATTTTTTGTCAATAAAATGTAAAATACTTCAAAGAGTAAATTACTAAAATGTATATATAAAGTGACATTGTTGAATATGACAAAAATAAGCAATAAAATGAGAAGAAACCACACAGTTGGAGAAGAATTCCTAGGATATAAAACCCCTAATTAATCTTTCCTAAATGAGTGAATATAAGTCTAGAATGAGAATCAATTCTTAGAGGGAGGAGCCAGACTTTCCAGACAAGTATAGACGCAATAAGTAAAATCCAATTATTTTTCTTTCATTTATGTAACAGTTCATTCTTATTGGCCACTTACATGAAATGTTTTTTTCCCCTTGTCTGTGTCTGGCATACTTCGTTAATTTCCCTTAGTCAAGGGTGTTATGCTTTGATATTTTAGTAGGGTACCTAAAAGACATACATACATGCACACATATACATTATACAGTGATCAATACATATTATAAGAGAGCACTAAAAAGTTTTATAGGAATTCAGAAGTAGCATTTGAACTGCTTTTAGATATGTAGTGTTAGGAAGGACAAAGGCCTTCTTATCAAAAGGAGCAGCATAAGAAAAACCATGGGCTTTCATTTTGGCTGGTGTTTGTAAAGTGGGTAATGGGAGATGAAGTTAGGGCCAAATTGTGTTCTAGCTCTATTACTTACTAGCTAACTTCAGGAAATTATTTGACCTCTTCTAATGCATTTTCTTAAAAAAAACAATTGAGATAGTAATACCATTTACCTCAAGGTTATTGGGAGATGATTTAGATGAGAATATACATGTTGAACAGTTATCACGCTGTCTGGCACAAAGTGCTGAATAATGTTTCCTATTATTTGTCACAGAGGCCAATGCCAAGCTAAGACATTAGAGCATTTATGTTGTAGAAAGCCAAAAATAAGGGTTTTAAATAGAGAGGTGACATAATCAGAGCAATGCTTTAGGAAGATTAACATGGCAGTAGGTGATCTAGAAGTGAAAGAAAGGGAAACCAGAGACCAGAGGAAGTTACTGCAATAGACCAGGAGAAGCAATGAGAGCTTGATAGTTTATAAATGACTATAAAGGGGCTGGGGATGTGGCTCAAGCGGTGGCACGCTGGCCTGGCATGCGTGCGGCCAGGGTTTGATCCTCAGCACCACATACAAACAAAGATGTTGTGTCCGCTGAAAACTAAAAAAAAAAAATGTTGAAAAATTCTCTCTCTCTCTCTCTCTCTCTCTCTCTCTCTCTCTCAGAAATAAATAAATAAATGACTATAAAATTCTGTAAAAATTACAATCTGATGGTGGTAACACAAATAGGAAACAGGAGAAGGAGCAGATTTGAAGGTAAACATGAAAAGTCAATTTTATATATACTAAGATACCTATGGAACATCCAGGAAAAAAAAAAACATGGGATGGGCAGTTGAAAATCCAATACTAGATCTCAAAACTTGAGAGAAGGTAGAAGTTATTGCCCAGAGGTTGTATGGGGTTACCAAGAAGGAATACAGGGTCAGAAGAAACGATAGTTAAGGACAGAACCCTTAAAGGTGGAAAAATGAAGATAAGGCAAATAATATGACTTTTATTGCCTTTCATAAAACTTAGTTAATGCTATCTGCTATTATATATGCATTTCCTTCTTTCATGCCAACTGATTGTTTTATTGTCTTACTCAATACCAGAGCTAAATGGACCATCTCTAGTGGCCCTTATACATATTTAAATATGGGTGCATTTGTTCTTACATAGCCCCTAAATTCTTTTGCTCTTCCTTTAAGGCCAACACAGGTCTATTGAGATGACAAGCCAGTTTTTATTTCTGAAGAACATACAGGGCATCAAAAGAAGCTAAGGTTTAGGATGTCTTACAGATGTTCTAAGAAATTACAGATATGTGGGCAACCTTGAAGTACTATGATGTGGCAAATAATATGCCTGATTCTTTCTCATTAGAAGTTTGAAAGTTGAAGGCCAGGTGCAGTGGCACACTCCTCTAATCCCAGTGGCTTGGAGGCTGAGACAGGAGGATCGCAAGTTTAAAGGCAACCTCAGCAACAGTGAGGTGCTAAGCAACTCAGTGAGACCCTGTCTCTAAATAAAATACAAAATAGGGCTGGGGATGACTCAGTGGTTGAGTGCCCCTGAGTTCAATTCCTGGTACCAAAAAAATTAAAAAAAAAAAAAAGTTTGAAAGTTGATTTTAACTTGAATTTTTTTGTTTATTGGAAAGAGGATAATTATAAGGACGACAATGGGGTTCCCATCCTGCTGAATGATATAAAATTGCCTGTGGATTTCTCTAGCACCAGTTGTTTTGCTTCAACCAATAGTGCTTATGACAGCCAAAAATGAAAGGCGATTTGAGGCTGTCATCTTAGGCTTCTCTGAAAAACTAAGGGAGTGCCTGTTTGTGCCTGACCAAGGGGAGTTTTTTGTCACAATGGGGAAATGACTAAAACTGGATAATTCACTTTCTTTGTTTCTGACTAGTGCCTTGTGTTTTAATTAACTTTTACAAGTGAATAATGGGCAATAGCCACAATTCCCTTGGCTAGCAAAACAATCATATAGTGTTCTATTGCAATATAAAAAATGTGCATAAGTCTTTGATACTAGAAGGTTTTGTGGCACTTTAAAATTAACAAGCTTGTTTTATTCTCTGCATATACCAGTAGATTTTTATGACCTTTTAAGTCCATTCTTCTGTTAGGGTATTTTGTGTGTATATTTTTTGTTGTTTACTTGCATTTAGGAAACTTCTAAGTCAGGCTGGTTTCAAATCAATTTTTAGAATTTTTACCAAGTTCATCCTAGTCCTGTTTTATTTAGATACTAACCTTTTAAACCTTTCAACTTCACCTCTCCCTTAAAACCAGTTACTAACTCAGCTGGTTGCATGAATGAAGGGATTGAGGCTTGTAGGTAAAGTTGCTATACTGGTCTGTTTTTTTTGTTGTTGTTGTTTTTTTTTTTTTTTTTTTTTTTTTGTTACTCTAATGACATACATGAGGCTGGGTGATTTTATAAAGAAAAGGGGAATATAACTGCTAACCCATAGTTTAATGATTTAACCATAGTTTACCAGATATATTTCTCTTACGAAAGAATCGGTGAGTGACATCTAAAGGCAGTTTTAATATGGAAAATTTGAGGAGGGGCTCCATAGCATAAGAATATACTTAACATATATTGTGCCCACTTACAATTTAATTTTCTCTTCTTGCAGTAAGTACAAATGGATTCTAGGTGAGGAACCTGTGGAAAAACGAAGAAGGCTCCAGAATGAGATGCCAACATCTCCCCTGGATTATTCCATGCCTGGATCTTATAGGAGGGTAGAGGCAGCTGTTGCCTATGCAGAAGGGGAGAACAGCCACGATAAATCAAGTTCTGAGAGAAGTACACCACCGTGCCTTTTCCCAGAATACCCAGAAGCAAACAAGAATACAGGACAGAATAGGGAAGCATCAGTTCTATATCCAGGGGCCCAAGACCAACGCCAAGGGTCCCTGCTTCCTGAAGAATTAGAAGATCAGATGCCAAGATTGGTAGCAGAAGAATCCAATAGAGGAGAATCCAATAGAGGTAGCACAAACATAAACAAAGAAGAAGTGAACAAGGGACCTTTTGTAGCTGTTGTTGGTGTTGCAAAAGGTGTTAGAGATTCAGGGGCCCCCATTCAGCTAATCCCTTTTAACAGAGAGGAGCTTGCTGAGAGAAGAAAAACTGTTGAATCCTGGAACCCAGTGCCTTATTCTTCTGTGACCTCTGCTACAGCCATTGGGGAGAAAGGAAGAGGCTATGAGGAGAGTGGAGGTCGTAATACACCAAAGATGAAGAACCAGAGAGAACTGGAAGAACTGAAAAGAACCACAGAAAAATTGGAACGTGTTTTGGCTGAAAGAAATTTGTTCCAGCAAAAGGTTGGGGCAACATCTTACCATTAGGAATTAGAGCTCATTGTAATCAAGGGTATGGGGTGTTGGTGCTCTGATGGTTTCACGTTCTGAGGCCTTTAAACAAAATATGTCAGTGAACAATTCTGTGGTATGTTTCAGATTGAGTGAGCCCTAATGGGCTTCCCTTCCATATTTTAGGGTTGAAAAGAAATTTCTATAATTAGAGGAATATGTATAATGGAATCACAGGGTAAAGATAGTAAGAACAATTTTGGGCACTCTATTAAGGTTTCAGTAGTATGTGGGCTCATTGAATTTTTTTCTTGGACTTCAGGTAGAGGAGCTGGAACAGGAGAGGAATCACTGGCATTCTGAATTCAAGAAAGTTCAACATGAATTGGTGACCTATAGTACCCAGGAGACAGAAGGGTTATACTGGAGCAAGAAACACATGGGTTATCGCCAAGCTGAATTCCAGATTCTGAAAGCTGAACTAGAAAGAACCAAAGAGGAAAAGCAAGAATTACAAGAGAAATTGAAGGAGACAGAGACACACCTGGAAGTGCTACGGAAGGCTCAGGTCTCCTACCGGACCCCAGAGGGAGATGACCTAGAAAGGTTAATTACTAGGGTTTAGTTATGAGCTTGTGAGTGCTAATGGGAAGCATCTCTTAGGACCCCCAGTTAATGGTCATAGACAAGGGAGGAAACCTTAATTCATAGGCCACCAAGGATTGGATAATTACTTCTTAGAAAGCCTCAGCCCCAATTTCCATGTGTTTGGTGGCATTGTGCTTTCTTCTTTCTTTTTAGCTAATGGAAACATAATTGTTGAGAATGTAGGCCCATTTTGAAGGGACTTCATTTTATTATGTTGGCTAATGACTTCATGTCATCTCTTCTCCTGCCCCCTCACTCTATCATACAGGGCTTTGGCAAAGCTTACGCGACTGCGTATCCACGTCAGCTATCTTCTTACTTCTGTCCTCCCTCACTTGGAGCTTCGTGAGATCGGGTATGACTCAGAACAAGTGGATGGGATCCTGTACACAGTGCTGGAGGCAAATCACATACTGGATTGAGCACCAGACTATATATATTCTTTTCTTTTCAGCCTGTGTACTATATATACTCTTTCCTATACTTCTCTATTCTTCTCTTGCCTTCCCTCTCTTCTCTTTTTCCCTTCCTCCCAAACACACACACAAAAAACTTCTTTCTCTCTCTCCCTGTCTCCTTTATGCCATATGTAGAGAATCTTTGAGTAAATCCTGGATCTTAATCAGTCTGCTGCTCACTCAGTTATGGTGTAGACAGAGAAACCAATTAAATAGACTTTCAAGATTCCAGGAACAGAAAAGCAAGAGTCACCAAGCTAGGTGATCAGAAAGCTTTTTTACTTGGCCTATTTTATATCCTTTCTGAAATGGTTCATACTTGTTTTGGTCAGTCAGTAAATACTAGGTCCAACATACCTGGTGTTTCTTGATGAATTATGAAGTACTCATGGTTTCAGCCTACTAAGATTCTAACAATCTAGTTGAAAATACAAGACACCAAATTACCTAATTATCCACAGAATTATATGGTTTATACAAGTTAGTGGTAAAAACATAACATAGAAATAGGGGAAGGGAGCTCAAGAAAAGCATCACACCAGAAATGGGACCTAAACTAAGGTTTAAAGAATGAGCATGGCCATACTGTTAACATGTGTTGTTCTTTAGGTGGTAGGATTATGGTTGATAATTTTTTTCTTCTTCCTATCTTCCTGCCTTTTTCAAATTTTCTATAATAAACTTGATATTCTTACATTTGAAAAAATGAATTATTTTTAAAGAACAATTAGACTTGGAATTGGGTATCAAATGAGAGACTGTGAAACTATATGTAATATTCCATTTATTACTTAGGTTAAATTTAGCATTACCTCTGGAAGAACAGCATGCATGAACAAAGACACAGAAAATTCAGAATGGGAAAAGTGTTTTAGGTAGGAGTGGTAGGTTAATGTAAAGGGAACTGAGATTAAATCATGACCCATCTACCTACCCACTTTCCCATCCACTGTGGTATTTGCTTTTTAATTAGTAATATTAAAAAACAAATCTTCAACATTCATCAATTTTAAATATGTATCACCAACTTGAAGATTTTCAGTTATAGGGAGAAGTATTTTACAGTAGGGAGATCTATCTGATGTCTCTCAGAATATACCTATATATCCTTAAGGGTATCCTGAGTGAGGGATAGACCTCATAGTATCAGAAATAGTAAAGCTTATACTCATGTAAATTGAAATGTTTTATTCATTCATTGCTTTATTATATTTATATAGGTTGTACTCTCCAAAGAGTTCCAGGTGCTCATCAAAAGACATTGAACAAAGAACATATAAAAACATCAAGGAATAGGGTTGTGGCTCAGTGGTAGAGTGCTTGCCTAGCATGCATGAGGCCCTGGGTTTGATCCCCAGCATCAAAAAATCTATATCAACAGTGAAAAATAGGAAGTATAGAAATATAAAAGCAAGGTAGGCTCAAGCAGTGGCAAAAAGGATTAGCTAGACAAAATGCTTTGGATACTCATTCTGTTTCTCTTCTGCAGAGTTACTTCAGAAGACTTTTACAAACATATTTTACCTCATTTGAAAGGAAGCCCATCATAGATAGTCCTGTGAGATTGCAGGGGAAAGGAGGAGGCCAGAACCAGGCTTCACCATTAGAACAAGTACTTAAAGATATCCCTGGCCACTGCCACACCACCTCACCTCACCTTAACTTGCCACATGATTAGTTTTCATGTTGGATATTTGGATCATGATAGTCAAGGTCTCATTTTATCTAAGTGTAAATATTACTGAGGGATAGGGAGCATATTAAGCCATTTTTTCAGTGATATTTGCTTGTCATTTGGGGGCTGAGAGGGCATAAGACTTTGTACAGATATGAATAATATGAATGGGAATCTGGTAGAAGGAAAAGTTCAGATTGTTGAAGGTTCAGACTTTGTGTTCATTGGACAAGTGAGGGGCAGAGTAGGAAGGAGGACCGGCAATTGAGCTCTAAAAGGAAAATAATGGAAAATTTAACTCATCTTTACTAGTACTTGCTTTCAGTTTACTCCCTGGCCCATTCCCTGAAAGCCCATGGTCTTGACCCCACAACGTTGTTGTTGTTGTTGTTTTTTCCTGGCAACAGTTATCTGTGTGAGTCCATTCACTTCAACAATATGAAGTGTTACCTGTTTACTATGAAACCATACCAGTATGAGTTCTAAATACCACTGTGGAGAAATTGGAACTTGTTTTACAACCTTACTCTAGAGTCTATTATCTAGTGTGGAAGCAAAGACATTGAAAAGGTTAGGTTAACATGATCATAATCTTTCTTTCAAATATCTCTCACATTTGCCTTTGAACTTTCCATTTCCATGTTGACATTTAGGCCTTTATTATCTCATGCCTTGATAATTTAAATAGATTCTTAACTGGCCTACCTTGCTTCCTGTTCTCACTTAGTCCACCCTATTCAATATTACTAAATGGCTTTTAACAATTTTATCATGTCATGCCTCTGTTCAAAGATTTGCTAGTGCTGACAGTTGCCCACTGAATGCAATACCAATTCCTTAGCATGGTGCTCAAAACCATTTGTGACCTGGCTTCAACCACTCTCTCTAGACTTATTTTCCAACATTCCAAACACACACTATATTCCATCCAAACTGAACTCTTTCAGTTTCTAAACATGCCTTAAGATTCTCTCCTTTTCTACCTTTGCTGTTCCATTCCCTTTTACCTAGAGTGTTCTTCCACATCATCTTTATTTTGGCTCAAATGCCATTTTTTTCTACAAATTTCTTTGATTAACCAAGTTAGACATGACATTTCCCTTTGAATATTTAAGTTTTATGTCACTTATTAGGCTCTTACCACAAATTTCCTTGTCTAGTCTTCATATTAGATAGCTCCAGATTCAAATATTAAACTGCCTACTTGACATTTACACTTACATATCTCATAGACACTTCAAATAAAACATGTTAAAAATGAACAGTGATATACCCCAGGACTGTTCTTTCTTCCACAGTTTTCCTTGTCTTAGCAAATGGCACCTCCTCCCACCCAGTTGCTTAAACTGGAAAACTGGAAGTCATCCTTAGTTTTCTTTTTCTCTCATCCTCTACATCCAATCTGTCAAGTCTGTCAGTTTTATTCCAAAGTATATATTAACTATTCATTTTACCATAGCTAACTTAATCCATCTCCAATGGATTATAATAGCTCATAACAGGAGTTCTTATGTCCACTCTTATTCCCACAATTGTATTTTCACTAGAGATGTGATTTTAAAAAAATGCAAATTAAATCTTATGACTTCCCTGTTTAAAGCCATTAAACAACTTCTCATTGCACTTAGAATAAAATCCAAACCCCTTACAACATCCTTTAAGACCACTATCTACTTCTTTTACTTTGTTTCATGAATCCTTTTATCCTACCCCACTTTTACCCTGGCTCACTGTGGTCTTTCCACTGAAGCATTCTAAGCTCTTTCATACCTCAGAGCTTGTACCCTTACTGTTCCACCTCCTGAGACATGTTTTACCCCTACTGTTCCTTCTAGAATACTTGTATCTCCATTCATGGCAAGGCTATCTATTCCTTATCCTTCAGGTCTTGATATGTCACTTCCTCAGACAGGTCTTCCTTTTTCTCTATTATTCTCTCATTTTTTTCCTGTTTTTTTTTCCCAACTCATATCATTGCTCGCAATTTATAATTATATATCTGGTCACATACCTTGATTCAGCAAATATTTATTGAGTACCTACTGTGTGCTGCAAGATATGCAGTGGTGAACACAACACACATGATCCCTGTATGACTCCCTCAATGATAAGTTGCATGATGGGCAGGGCTATGCCTGTTTTTGTCAACCACTGTATTCTACTTCTTAGTACCTGGGATATAGTAATCAATAAATGATTGCTAACAAATGAGGTTTTGATTGGAACTGTGTTTTGTTCATATCTTCCTGTCCCCCAAGGATGTAAAACAGTGTCCCATTCATAGACAGGGTTGGATAAATACAGCATGAGTGAGGTAGATAACAATCCTGGGCAATAAACTCTGAAAGACTGAGACAATGCATTGCTCAGGTTATTGGGGGCGGGCAGTGATCAGAGTGGCCTAGTGTTTCTCTTTAGCTAATCTATGACGTGAATAATTAGAAAGGCTGCCAAAGGAGGAAAGGAATATGGGTGTTCTTTACTACAAACATTCTGAATATTATCCAGAAGACGTTCTCTATTGGGCAATTTTTAAATGCTAAGGACTATAGAATAAACCCTGGAGAAGGCTATAGAGACCAGATCTTGAGACTAAGAACCAAAAGGAGAAAAAAAATCTAAGGATTCAGTATTTTCAAGAGTTGTCTTAGTTTATTTCAAGTGAAGAAAGAAGAGCTATATAAAACAAAGAACAGACAGAAGAGGTCTCAAGGAAACAAGTTCCAGGGACATGTTAAGAGGTCAGTATATATTTGTTGGATGAAAGGGACCTAGACCAGAGACTTTGTGGCACAAGGAGGCAGCAAGATTTGCTGCCCGTGGTCAGTAATTGTAAATTATCTGGGCTAACAATTTAGAGGCTGAGGCATAATTGGCAGGTTCTTAGTCCCAAGGGCAATCTCAAGATAAAATGTCTTTCAGGATTCCATATTATGAATTAAAACACCTTTCTGTAATACTCTATTAGGAGTGAAGCATAGAGGTCTGCTCAGGAATGCTGGATATGAGCTCAGGATAAGCCAAAAGTGATTGCCTCAAAAAACGACTTATGTTTCATGACAAGGACATCCCTAAATCATGATTTATATTAGGCTGACAGGATATTTGAGAACCATACATTCTGAATCAAAAGTGAGAGCACATGCTTGGATAATAAACAAGGTAATTGAAAGAAGAACTGAGATAGTCTTAGGCATAGGAAAACTTCAGTCATTAAGTAAGACATAAATATTATTCATTTTCTTTTTCAGTGCCAGAGATTGAACAGGCCTTGTAAATGCTAAATACA